ACAAAATGTGGCATTTGCATACACTGGAATATTTTTCAGTCTTTAAAAAGAAATCCTGTCACATGCTATATCATGGATAAAATTTGAAGACATGAAGATAAGTTAAATGGGCTAGGGCTGGGTTCAGTGGTAGCACACTTGCCTGGCATGTGTGAGGCACTGGGTTCAATTCTCAGCACCATGTATAAATAAATTAAATAAAGGTCTATCAAAACTAAAAAAAACTTTAAAAAAACAAGATTATAAAAAAAAAATAAGTGAAATAAGTCAGCAACAAAAAAACAAATATTGCATGATTTTTCTTACATTAGGTATGTAAAATAGTAAAACTCATAAAAAATAGAAAACAGAATGACTGATACCAGGGGGTAGAGGTTAAAAATTAAATGGGATGCTATTTAGAGGGTGTAGGGTTTCAGTTTTGCAAGATAAAAACAGTGAGTATCTGTGGCACAACCATGTGAATCTATTAAAAACCCTACTGAACTATATATTTTAAAATGATTAAGATGATAAACTTAGTATTATGAAGTTCTACCACATTTAGAAAAATTTTAAAAAGTACTTAAAATATTTCCAAGAATATGTAGACTTGAAGGGGAATAAAAGAAAAAGGGATGAGAAATGTTAAATATGGATGAATTGGTATAAATCCATCATCACTAGTGGAAAATCAAACCAAAGCACATACTCTGATGAGGATTAGTACATCATATTATAGACTCAGTGCAACTGAATGAATAAGTGATAGTTCTGGAGGGAAACTACCTAGGTTTCCACTCCAGTTCCACCATTTCCTGGCAACTGACTTAAAGCAAGATACCTAGCTTCTATGTCTCAGTTTCTTCATCTATAAAATGCAACTAGTGCTAGCATCTTCCTCACAGGGTTATTACATGATTAAATGAGTTCATACAGATGTAGCACATAGAACAACGTGTGACACATATTGACAATCACTCAATAAACACTGGCTGATATTAACTGTAATTAAAGATTATTCTATAAAACTAAAAGGTTCCAGAATTACAAAAAAATACTACCAAGACCATGTGTTACTAGGAATACTTCATAATTATAAGTACTGTCAGAGCTTTAGAATGCCAATTCCATTTATTTAAATGATATACTATCATCTAAATCAAAATGCTCTGAAGTACTCTAAGGAAAAAGAAGGTATAATTTTCCAGCATTGGAGTGCATGAACTTTTCACATTGGCAAGTATAAGGACCTGACATACTAACAAAGACCTAACTGGGTTGTACACAAAGGTATTTCTGGTTATTTTAAATTTAAAATACAGAGTGTTACAAAATCTACCTATCAATAGAATCAGAGGACAAGGGAGAATAAAGAGGGTAGAAAATGAAAGCAAAATAAATCTTCATTTTCCAAAAAAGGAATGTCTAAAATTGAAAAGATTAAGATATCAGTATAATCATTTTATTCAGAAATATGAAAGCTAATATCAAAAGAAACACTATGTGACCCATAGAAACTAGCCGGAATAGGAAGTTGGGGAGGTAGGGCAGGAGGCAAGAACTGCCCCCCTTCCTTTAAGTTGTAGATGGACATAATACCTTTATTTATTTATTTTTATGTGGTGCTGAGGACTGAACCCAGTGCCTCCAGGCAAGTGCTCTACCACTAAGCTACAACCCCAAATCTAAAAAGGACTACTTTTTATTGATATTATAAGCCCTGAAATACTACTTGATTTTTTTTAATTCCTTTTTTTTTTTTAGTATTATAGCCGGGTACAGTGATGTACACCTATAATTCCAGCAACTCAGGAGACTGAAGCAGGAGGAACTCAAGTTCAAGGTTAACTTAGGCAACTTAGCAAGAATCTATCTCAAAATAAAAGATAAAAAGGGCTGAGAATGTTGTTCAGTGGTAGAGTGCTCCTGGGTTCAATTCCCAGAATAGCAAAAATAATTAAATCTAACCTATTTTATGCAAATTGAGACCACTAAAATACCTTTTCCCCCTCTTCAGAATGGCAAATATCCAAAATGATGATCATATACACTGGTAATAAGGCTATAGAAAAAGATCCTCTCATATCTAAGCAAGAATGTAAAATTAAAAAAAAATTTATATGGAGGGTTTCATTGTATTGTCCAGGCTGGTCTCAAACTTTAGGGGTCCTGTGATTCTCCTGTCTCAGCCCCCTGAGTAGCTGGGACAACAGGTACACATGACCCTGCAAATAACAAGAATGTAAATTTGTGAAATACATGTGGGACAACTAGAATGAAGTTATCAAAATTAAAAATGTATATATTGCTAAGCATAGTGGTGCATGCCTGTAATCCCAGAGGCTAAGAAGGCTGAGGCAAGAGGATGGAGAGTTCAAAACCATCCTCAGCAACTTAGGAAGGCCCTAAGCAACTCAGCAAGACCCTTCTCAAAATAAAACATAAAAAGGGCTGGGGATGTAGCTTGGTGGTTAAACACCCCTGAGTTCAGTTCCCAATATTTAAAAAAAAAAAAGTATATATTAATTGACTCAGTAAGGCAATTTTTAGGAATTTACCTTACAAGCATATTTGCAAATGAGTGAACCAATCTGTGTAATATTATTTATAAGAGCAAAAGATAATAATTGTCCATCAATAAAACACTAGTTTAATAAGTTACAATTTATCTAAACAATGAGACTGTCACAGTATGGATCTGCAATATACCCCCAAAGGCCCATGTATTCAAGGCTTGGTCCTCGGCCTTACACTACTGGGAGATGGAATCTTTAAGAAGTGGGGCCTAGTGGAAGGAAGTTAGGTTATTAGGGGGTATGCCCTTGAGGGTTATACTGGGTCCTGGCCACTTTCTGTCTCTCTGGTTCTCAGCTACCATGAGGTGAGGAGCTTTCCTCTGCCACATGTTACTACCATTCTGTACTGTGCCACCGAGTGTCTCAAAAGCAATGAAGCCAACTGAATATGGGCTGCAACTGTGAGCAAAAATAAATCTTCCCTTTTTATACACTGATTGTCTCAGGTTTCTGTCATAGTAACGGAAAGCAGATAATATGCAAATATTTTTAAAAAGAGAAGTTCTTTAAATATTGAAATAGTAAGATAATATTGTTAAGTGAACATAATAAAGGGAAAAATGTTTTTGCATTGGCCTGCACATACATAAATATTAGAAGGAATCAAAAACTAGTATAGTACTGATTTGGGGGGGAATGGAAACTGAAAGAATAGGAAACTAGAGGAAGAAGGACTTTGAGTCAATCTTTTTAGATTTTGACACTGGACCTGCCTCAGCCTCCCGAGTCAGGTGTGAACCACCATGCATGGCTTAACACCTTTTTAAAAAAGATCCTTGCCTAGTAAATTAAATCGAAGCTGAAAGCTCTCATTTTAACTTAAAAATAATCATTTCAAATCAGAAATTAATCAATGGGTCCAAGAAATGAGTCAATAAGAACTAATAAACACTAACATACTACAACTGCATTATTAACTGAAAAAAAAAAAAAAAAGGAAGTTCCAAATAAGAGTATTTTTTTCTTTCTCTCTGTGTGTGGAGAGGGCGGGGACTGATCACAGGAATGCTCTACCACTGAGTTACATCTCTGGTCCTTTTTATTTTTTGAGACAGGGTCTTACTAAGTTGGAGGCCTCAAACTTCTAATCCTCCAGCCTCAGTCTCCTGAGTAGCTAGGATTACAGGTATGTGGCACCATACCTGGCTTATTTTCTCATTTTGGTTGTGCGAAATTTGCCAGGAGTTCCAATTCCATAATATCATCAATTTGCCAATAAATACCATTCTCATTAGATTTATAGAGGAAAAAGGAGAAGGACCCAAATTAAAGCATTAATATATTCTAAAAAGGAATTAGAACCAAAAAAGGTAATTTCCCAAGGTTAAAAGGGTAAATGTGAGTCCTTTCTATAAGTCTGCTTTTACAAGGGCACTATTTTTCTACTCTAATCTAAAAACTCTCCCATAATTATAAGACCTGATTACCATAAATATTATTTTGGGGAATGAAGTTTCCATTTAGAAAAACTAATAAATTCTTTCTCTTTTTAAAAAACTCCAAGTTAGAACAACAAAGAATTGGAAACTGTAACAACATAGAATTTCTAGAAATCTAAAATACATTCTAAGTAGAAAACCAGAAACCACATAATACTACTCTTCTTTTCTGCTATTAAAAGACACAAGCTCCTCATCTTGCTTAGCATTAGTCAGCAGCAGCAGCTGTATGTGTGGGAGCAGGGAGAGCTGAAACGGAGCAGAGTGGGAATAGTGGGAATATATATCTGTTTGTCTCCTCCTACTTCACAGCTAGAGTGTGTGTGTGTGTGTGTGTGTGTGTGTATGTATCTCAGGTGGCTGTAACCCAAGTGCAACAAGCCAAATCATCCTCAGCTCTATTATTTTTCAGTAACTGATTTAAACAATGCCCATCATTGCATCCCCATCCACTATACACATGTATAAATGCCATTTCTCCTATCTTCCTTAAGCCCAAATGAGCAAGCCCCTTAAGGGAATCAAGGTAGTTACTATGCAAAAAATAAGAGCAACTTTATTTACTGACTCTTATTCCATGCACACAGAAAAAGTACCTCCTAATTCCTGTTAATTTAAAAAATTAACTTATCAAATAATAAATATTTAATGTGAATCTATTATGTGCCAATATATGTAATTTACAAATTACAAAAGACAGAATATTAATCAGGCCTTTTTTAAAAATGAAGAAATTCTGACACATGCTATAACAGAGATGAACATTAGGGATATTATACTAAGTGAAATAAATCAGTCACAAAGAGACAAATATTGTATAACTTTACATATGTAAGGCACCTAGACAGAAAATAGAATGGTAGCTGTCACAGGAGGGAAATGGAAGATATAGTTTAATGTGTGCAAATTCAGTTTGGGAGTACGAAAAAAGTTGTAGAGATGAAAGTGGTGGCGGTTGCATAACAATGTAAATGTGCTTAATGCTACTGAACTGTACACTTACAAATGGTGGGCTGGAGATAAAGCTCCATGGTAAGAGTGCTTGTTCTGGGTTTCACCATCATCACCAGGAGGCAAAAAAAAAAATAGAGAGAGAGTGGTGAATTTCATGTTATGTGTATTCTACCACCCCCACCACCACAACAACAAAACTGTTAATAAAATTTTGAAAATTTAGTCAGGGGTAGTGGTGCACACCTTTAATCCCAGTGACTAGGGAGGCTGAGACAGGAGGCTCACGCGTTCAAGGCCACCCTGGACAACTTAGTGAGACCCTGTCTCAAAATAAAAATTGTTTTAAAAGGCAGGTGGTATAACTCAGTGATTGAGCACCCCTGGGTTAAATCCCCAGTGCCACACACACACAAAACTAAGAAAGAAATAGGTGATTTCTTGACCAGCTAGAAATAATAATCAAGGAAGAAAAACAAAAAATCTAAATAGACCTATTTCTCCAAAAGAAATTAGGGTCACAGTTTAAAATAAAATTTCTAATAATGAAAAGGAACTCATTTCTTATCTACTGCTGATAGGAATGTAAACTAAACTTCTTTGAAATACAGTGTTACTTTGTAAAACACAACACTTACTAATCCTATAACCCACAGGATTTATATTTATATTCCTAAATACCAAGAGAAATTTTTGGTCATAGTACACCAGAAAACAGGTAGTATTCAAAACAGTAAGAAAGTAAAAACAGGAGCTGGGGATGTGGCTCAAGTGGTAGCACGCTCACCTAGCATGCGTGAGTCACTGGGTTTCTCGGCACCACATAAAATAAAATAAAAATATTGTGTCCACCTAAAAAAACTAAAAAATAAATATTAAAAAAAAAGAAAGTAAAAACAACCCAAATGTCATCAACAAAACAATGAATAGATGATGATAAAGTATTAGTAAGACTCTGTCTTAAAATAAAAAGGGCTAGGAATATAGCTCAGTAGTAGAACACCTCTGGGTTTAATCCCTAATACCCCTGTCCAGCCCCTAATCCTCCACAAAAAAAGAATATGCTAGCCAGGCTAGGTGGCATGTGCTAATGGTCCAACTACTCAGGAAGTAGTACTCTTTTTTAGACGAGATCGGGCGCATTCAGGGTGGTATGGCCGTAGATGCTTTTTTAAAAAAGATCTTGCATTTTACTTATATATATTACATATCAAATAAAGTTTATGAAAAAAGAACCTAAAGGTATCTGTTGGGAAAAGTATAAACAGCAGCCATACCCCAGAGAAAAAACCCCAACATGGCGCCTAAGCACCTCTTCTTCCTACCTTCTTTTCTGCAGTGGTGCGAAAAGTTCCCGCCCGTGTGAACTCTCCCGCCGGCGCCAATTTCAAATCTCGCTGGCGGGGAACCTTAGCCCCAATGAGAACTAATTCCTGGGCTCCGGAGCTGATATCTGAAAGAACTTGCCAATAAACGGGTTGCCTGCCATTTATCTAAACCCTACCATCTCCCCCTTAGTTCTATATAAGCACACTGCTTTTTGCAATAAAATTGGAAGTCTCCCGGGGAAGTGTCTTTGCGTGGGGAATTCTTTCAGTATCCTTTTACCTCTTACTACTCTGGAAGCTAAGGCAGGAGGTCACTTAAGTTCAATAGTTCAAGGCCAGCCTGAACAATATAGCAAGACACCACCTAAAACAACAAAAGAATATGCCTCTGGGACCATATGAATTCCTCTCATTGACCAAAATGGCAGCATGTTTACCACATTCCAGCATGTGTGGTTAATGTAACAGAGCCTGAGAAGAAAATGATTGCTGAACCACCACATGGGGCTTAAGAACACAGGTCTGAGTATCATTAAACTAGAAAAATAATGGACCAGGTCCTCTTGATATAAAAAAAAAAAATGCTTTTGTTACTAAATTTGCCTTGAAAATAAATTTTCTCTAAAACATACATTTAAAATTTCTTCCCAGAATCTGACACAAACCATGGGTTTCTCAAAAATACAACAAAATGCATTCTATATTCAAGCATCTGTTTATACTGGAGTATGACAGTTTCTTACAAGATATCTTTAAAAGCATAAGAAAGCTCTTAACTGATAAGTACTATAAGAAAGCTTTTCATTTCATTCATTATTCAACTAATATTCACTGAATATTTTCAATATTTACAACTTGTGAGAGCTTGTGTAGGAGGGTATTCTTTCAGTTTCAGGGAAGCAGAGGTTATATGAGAGGTTTAATATGAGAGCAGGTGGTGAAAAAGTGGAAACCAAGACCCTAACTATTCAACTAGTATGAAGTATGACAATAAAGGAAATCAAAGAAATGGGTATTAGCTAGAGTGCTAGTAAGACTAAACAAAAGTGTCCCTCCCCCCAAAAATGGGAAGACTTCATAAAAAAGATCAAACATACTACAGATAAGGCAGAAGCAAGACAGAAAATGTAATCACAGATAAAATGAATCTCATATTCAATGTCAATCTTTTTTTTTTTTTGCATTTTTTCACATTTTTATTGGTGCATTTTAGTTGTATATGGTAGGATTTATTGTTACATACTCATACAAAAACACAGAATGCTTCATTAATTTGCATATCATCCTTGTGCAAGGGCCATGCTAATCTTCTCTGTATTATTCCAATTTTAGGATATGTGCTGCCAAAGATGCCATAATCTTTGTAATGCCTGATATATGCCAGGAAACTGTACTAAGCATTTCCACATATATTATCATATCTAATTCTCACAACAGCCCTGTGAGGTAAGATAAACATACTTCAGAAACAAAGAATGAAAAGAGAAACAAGCCAGGCATGATGGAGTGCACCTGTAACTCCAGCAACTTAGGAGGCTAAAGCAAGAGGATCTCAAGTTGGAGGCTAGCCTCAGCAACTTAATGAAACCTTGTCTCAAAAATTAAAAAAAAAGGGCTGGGGTTATCGCTCAGTGGTGAAAGGCCCCTGGATTCAATCCCCAGTATCAAAAAAAGAAAAAGAGAAATAAAAATCATACCAAATGACATTGATTCAGTAATAGAAAAAGGAGGAGAAAAGAGCAAGGTGGCTTTGAAAAGGGCTTTATAGGAGATAAGAAACTAGCATTTATTGTCTACAATGCACAGGCAACCTAATATCCTTTAGGAATGTGATTCTATGAAGTACTTACTATTCATTTAATGGAAGAACTTGCTTGATATGGTTTATGTGGGTAGCTCAGCAGGCTGAGGTAGGAGGATTTCAAGTTTGAAATTGCCAGCCTTGGCAACTTATCTTCAAAATAAAAAATAAAAAGGGCTGGGGATGAAGCTCAGTGGTAGAGTGCCTCTGGGTTCGATCCCCATACTCCCGCTGCCCAAAAAAAAGAAGACCTTGAGGTTGTGGGAATTTTCCAAGATCAAACAGCTAATAATTGGTGAGGTAGTGATTCAAGCCTAGGTCTATGAGACTACAAATTTTATTCCTTTCCACTACATTACACTGCCTCTTTAACATCAAGAATAAAAAGATTGGGCTGGGATTGTGGCTCTACGGTAGAGCGCTCACCTAGCATGTGCGGGGCCCTGGGTTCGATCCTCAGCACCACATAAAACAAATAAGTAAAATAAAGACTGTGTCCAACTACAACTAAAAAATAAATATTTAAAAAAAAGAATAAAAAGATCATGAAGATCCAGTTAAAAAAAAAAATGAAATAAGTAATGCCAACTCAGTGCCTTCTCTGCATTCAACCACCCAGGTAAAAAGCATTTACCATTGGGGAGTTACTAAAGTTGCAAGAAATTAATTTGTACATATAAGAACTAAGAAAGGGCAATTATTCAAACAATAATTGAATATCTTTACTAATTGAATATCTGCAAAATATTACACACTGGATGGTCTAGTAAGACTTCCTACCTAGCCATTTGAAGATACAGTTTGGGTATCTGTAAACAGTCCAAAATTCAACACTAATCTAAGGAAATATTTAATGTTAAAGTATCAGAAAATATCCACCCAAGAATAACTTTTAGTTTTCAAAACTGACTTTATTTACTAAGAGTAAAAGGCCTCAAAATTAACACATACTGAATTAAAACTTTTTAAAACCCAGGATACCCATTTATATTTTGTACTTTTATAATATAGGGTAAATACATAATGAAAAAATATAAAATGGAGCAGAAAGATCACTGGGCACTGTCTCATGAACAGAAGCTTTAACATTTCAGAAATGCCTAGAATCTTTTGTCTGAACTACTTTTGTTAACTACAACCACCAATAAAATAGATGGTATATTTTCATATTAGACAAGATCTACATTTGACAAACATTTTTTCTAATCTAAGATTCCTACCAGTCCACATCTGTATAATCATGAAACTACATTTGCTGTTTTCAAAATAATAGCTTGTTTTCTACTGGTATATGTCAAATGAAAGGACAGAATGATATTTTTTAACGAACTTGATTAAAATATGTATACACAAGGCTGGGGCTAGGGCTCAGCGATAGAGCGATCGCCTAGCATGTGCGAGGCCCTGGGTTCGATCCTCAGCACCACATAAAAATAAGTAAATAAAATAAAGGTATTTAAATAAATAAATAAATAAAATAAAGGTATTTTAAAAAAATGTATACACAGTTTAAAGAATCCCAAACCAGGGGCTGGGGTTGTGGCTCAGCAGTACAGTGCTCGCCTAGCATGTGCGAGGCACTGGGTTCGATCCTCAGCACCACATAAAAATAAATAAATAAAGTAAAGGCATTGTGTCCAACCAGAAATTAAAAAAGAAAGAAAGAAAAGAATCCCAAATCAGCTATTAATACATGAACCAACCATCAAATCAACAACATATTTTAAATTCATTAATACAGAAAGGAAAGGGTAAATCAATGCTCAGACCTCTGGCTTTCTAAGGCCCAAATTAAAAATATCTTTAATACCACTAATCTCCATGGAATTACTGGCTTCAGAAAGCAGCTTTTTACTTCAAGCAGGATCAAACTAATCCCCTGACACTCCCAGGAAAGTAGTAAAATCAAGTTGTTCCAAAAATCTTTACACTTGGCATTCATTCAGATCCTTCTAACCCACCCTCAG